TTTTTTTGGTGCTGCCAACCCAATCAGCTAGCTCCATTGTATTCGGCACTGTAGCGCTCAACATAATTATATTCACATGGTCGGGAAGAAGTATTATCACCTATAAATAAACAAATAATTTAAAGTCAAATTTCAAACAAACATGTATTACCTCTTCCCAAACATGACCACGTTCAGGATTGTTTATATAGTGTACTTCGTCAAAAATAACATATTCGAGATCTCGTGTTATTTCACTACCGCAGTAAAGCATGGAGCGTAAAATCTCCGTAGTCATAATAAGGCAGGAAGCAGTGGGATCAATTTGTAGATCGCCAGTTATCAGACCTACATCCTTGAAAGTTTTTTTGAAGTCTCGGTATTTTTGATTAGACAGCGCTTTAATGGGTGAAGTGTATATTGTACGCGTTAAATCGCGTTGCGAAAGGGCTATAGCATATTCTGCCACTACCGTTTTACCGGCAGATGTATGCGCGGCTACGAAGACATATTGACGTTCTTCTAATTTAAGAATTGCCTGTTTTTGGAAAATATCCAACTCAAATGGGTAGGTCATGGCAGGGCATGGAATTTTCTCTTTGAAACTAGCAATAGGATGCGAGATATCAACCATTTCAGCCCATTCACTACTGAAAGCAGACTTAGTGTTTATGTTTGAGATTTCCAATACTGGCTTAAGGTCGGCATTCATAATTTGCTCTTCTACATCTTTGAATTCTGTTGAGTTATCAAGAACTGTGACCGAATCAGCTTCCGTTGGTTGTTCCGCCAACTTAAGCCACTCTTGAACATCGAGATCCTTTTCTAAATTTTCCAGGAGATTTACTTTATCATTGCTTACCAAAATTGAACCAGGGGAAAGTGTTTCCACGTTGGTCTCGAAATTGTAGCCTTTTTGAAATCCTGGCGGCAGGGTCAACAGTTCTGTGCCAAAGTCCAGATCAATGCTTAGCTTTTTGATTTCCCTTGGCGGTTCATCTAATCCACCCGGCCAAAAAGGAAAATTCATAGCAGATCCGCGTGTTGCTTCCTCTAGAAGCCCAGGCTCCCGGCGCATTGAAGTGGAGTTGCATGCGTTGGCACCAACATCTTCCAAGTCTACTTCGACAAATTCTATAATCTCGCCGGTTACAAAGTCGCGACGTGGCACTAATTTGGTGCTGGCAGCACCTTTCGGTAAATGTAAAAGACGCGTTTCATCAAAGCGTCGAGGTATAACTTCTGGCAAAGGATTATGTATTGGTAAATCCGGAGATATAATATAATTTTGTAATTTTTGTATATTTTCATCCATTTTGACTTGATGAATATGAAAAAATTATTTACGAATGTCAGGTAAAAACAAAAAGGGAAAGTACTAAAGTTGGGTAGTTCAAGAACTATCGTTCATTGAAATAACGACCTAGTTCGAAATTTAAGAAGAACTGAAATCATGATTCAATAATAGAAGGTTGGATCAGGAACCAATTAGAAAAGATCTGCAGTGGAATTCTGACAATTTCCCGGCTAAATTACCATCGCCAAAATTCTATAAATGAAAATCAGTGGGGCTTAGAAGCACGTAACAAAAATGATAGAATATACGATTGCGCCAATCGAGCTGAGAGCAATTGAGTGTGACGTTACAATACTATGAGAATGAGAGTGTAAAGAATAATTTTTAAGAAGTGGAAGAAGCGAACAAGTGGATAGTGAATTGTACGTACTCTTCAGCTTCTTAAATCTGAACGTACATTCGGTACAAGCACATTTCAGGAATTCAGTCAACGTTGTCGTCTGTTTCAGCTAAGGGGAGACCTAGGAAGTGTGCGACTTCCACAGGGTCTGTCCATAAGGACAGGGCGTCAGCTGGGTGGGGTTCTCAGGGCATGTGCAGAGGTGCCGAGAGTCATGTGGTGACTTTCCACATGTCGGGCATTGGTTGGGCACATCCTCATTAATTCTGCTCAGGTATGAGTTAAGCCTGCTGCAATAGCCAGAGCGAAGTTGGGCTATTGTGGTGCGGGTCTCCCGAGGCAGACTAAGTTCTGTCCTGTGTGCCCAGAATGGCACAGGGCGGGAGTCTACATAACTCGAGACTGATTCCCTGTAAATGCCGCTCAGGGCCTGTCGGTAGGCTGACGGGTCCAGAGCTTGTTTAATGAACCCATCTGTTTGCTGGGATGGTCACGTCTGTGGTACCCCACAAGAAACGGCTTGCAGAGCATTATGTTAAGCTCGTTGACTGGGAGCACCTGAGCCTCGTCGTGTAGGTGGTGTTGGGGCATCATCAGGAGGCATCCGGTCGCTGTTCGTAGTGCCGTGTTTTGGCAGGTCTGTAGCTTCATCCACTACGTCCTGCTAGTCACCGGCGACCACACGGGCGCTGCATAGTTTAAAACCGGCCGGCCAATTGCCTTGTATGTTGCCAACAACGTTTCTTTATCTTTGCCTAAAGTGCTGCCGGTCAGCGGCTTGACGACATTGTTGCGGCTCTGTACTTTATTGGCAATTGGGGTTGTATGCACCGAGAAGGTGAGCAGACTGTCGAAGGTAACTCCGAGAATTTTCGGGTTATTCACCGCCGGTATTGTTACGTCATCAACGTGAATACCCAGTTGCAGTCTGACCTCCTTCGTCCAGGTGGTGAAAAGGGTTGCCGAGGATTTCGCAGGGGATAGGGCTAGGCTCCTTGCAGTGAAGAAGCGAGAAAGTTCGGAGAGGTAGCCGTTTACTTTTGAGCACAAGTCATCAATTCCATTACCAGACGCCATGATCGAACAATCGTCAGCATATGAGACTATATTAACACCCTCTGGTGGTCTAGGAAGCTTAGAGATGTAATAATTAAACAGCAGTGGGGACAGGACACCCCCTGTGGTATCCCCCTGTTTAGTTTTACGTGGCTTGCTGGTTTTATCTCTTAAAATTACTGACGAATGTCGACCACTCGGATAATTCGCCGACCACCGTTTGAGTCCCTGTGGGAGAGAGGAGGCCTCTATATCTTCTAGCAGCGTTGAATGACTGACGGTGTCGACCGCCTTGGACAGGTCCAACCCTACTAGAATAGTTCTCTCACAGGGGCGGTTTCGGTTAAGGCCACGAGTTATCTGAGTGTTAATGGCGTTAAGTGCTGTTGTTGTGCTATGCTCTTTACGGAACCTATGCTGATGCTTGCTGGGGTCAGGTGGTTCGTGAAATACGGAAGTAGCAAGGCCTCTAGTGTCTTCGCTACCGGGGAAAGGAGGTTTATCGGGCGATAAGACTCTCCTTTGTTGGCTGGTTTCCCCGGTTTGAATAGTGGGATCACTCTTCCCATCTTCCATATATCTGGGATAACGAGAGTGGCCATAGACAAGTTGAGGACCTCCGTTAGGTTCGCTACTCCCGCAGGACCCAGATTTTTCAGCATCAACATGCATATTCCGCCGGGTCCAATGGCTTTGGAGGCTTTCGCCTTCCAAAGGTTTGGCTTTATCCACTGGAGGATGCAGAATAAATTGTCGGCTAAAATAGCTCGCACATCGCTAAGGGTCCGACGAAGCGTGATCACCAAAGTCTATTTCGACCCTGTCGTCACGGTTCGTCGAGTTAGACAACGACCTCACGGTTGACCAAAGCTTACTCACATCATAGGCGAAGTTGCAGGTCTTCAAATGTTCAGCCCATTTCTTTCGCTTATGTACGTTCACAAGTTGCCGAATCTCCGAATTGAGATCCCTGCTACGGAGATTTCTGGGATCAGCCTGACGAAGGTTGTCAGGTGGATCCTTAATGGGATGAAGCGACAGTGACAACCCTGAAGCGACAGTGACAACCCTGCGGAATTTACGTTCACCTATGTCGACGTTGGTTGGTATGGGTAGTGCAGTGAAGGCGCTTTCAGTAACATCCGCGAAGCCTTTCCAGTCAGCTTTGGAATAGTTGACATAGGTCCAGTGATCCACGGAAGCAAAGTCGGCAGGTTTATCAATCGAGATGACTATGCGCAGATGGTCTAATGCTAGGGTCAGCATAGGTCGCCATGATACGCTGTTGATCAGACCAGCGCTGACAATTGTTAGATCTGGCAGGCTGCAGCATCTGGTGACTCCACCCAGATCTGGAGAACCCAACCAATATTCCTGGTGGGTGCGTCGTCGTTCATTGTGCAGAATGTCGAATCGTCTATCTGCTCAGCCAGATGTATTCCCCTACGACCATTTGACATGCTTGAGTGCCAAATATCGTGGTGCGCGTTAAATTCGCCAACTACCATACGGTTTTCACCTGTGAGTAGCGCACCTATTTCCGGGTGATATCCTGCCGGGCAGCTGGTGACAGGGGGTAAGTATATGTTAAATATTTCGATCTCAGCATCGCCTGATCGGATAGCAATACCCTGACATTCTAGGATGGTATCCCTGCAGGCGATGTCTGCTTCAATAAGACGATACTGCACAGTGTGGTGCGTGATGAACGCTAAACCTCCACCATTGTCTCGCTCGCGATCTCGACGGTGCACGTTGTATCCGGCGCAATTCAACAAGGTTCAATTGCCGTGCAACTTCGTCTCTTGGACCGCAGCTATTAATATTCCATGCCTTCCCAAGAAGACAGTGTGGTGTTAAGGAGTTGTGTTGCCTGCCGGCTCCCAGCTACACGTGCTGCAAAAGGGGGTGCTGCCTTGTTATGGTGGTTGGCGGCGTCGCGGGGGAGGTATGCGATTGGGCAGCACAGCAGGGGCCCACATAGTCACTCGTCAAATCACGCGTGTTGCGAATTCCTGAGCATGCCCTAAAGTGGCACCAGCTAAGGCAGGGGTTGCACTTGACTGATGTCACGTTACAGTATATTCAGGACTGACAAACCGAGCAGATTGTTGGAGGGACTAGGAGTTGCCGGCGGCGGTATGTGCGTGCTATTGTAATGGGTGATTTTTTAAGAGCTTGATAACTTTTTTTTAAAAAAAAACGCATAAAATTTTATTTATTATTATTTCATTTAAATGTTGACCGCGGCTGCGTCTTAGGTGGTCCATTCG